GGCTGTTGGAGAAGGTAGTGAAGCAGGGCTATCACCAGCGAATTGCCGGAGTGACCGTGTGGATCTGGAGAAGTCTTTGCTGATGAAGAAAGCAGCCCTCATGACTTCCGATTCTGGGCATTGCACAGCTGAAGAGGCGTTTGCATCTGAAGATGAATCTGAAGAAAGCTCCTCACTCGGTGCAGAGGAAGAGGACTCAGAAAATGAAGAGGCTATTAGAAAAAAGCTTTCAAAGCCTTCTCAAGTGAGCAGTGGTCAGAAACTGGGGCCAAGGAACTTAATTGATGAGACCAGTGATATAGAAGATTTACTCAAAGAGGAAGAAGATTACAAGGAAGAAAATAATGATTCCAAAGAAACCTCAGGTAAGCTTAAATTTAGTTGGTTGCTGCTATCAACTTGGCTCTCGAAATGGTACCCAATGGAATGTCTCCATTTGGGGGTCTGTTGATTCTGTGATTTTGTTAACTGTTGAAATGCTGCATTGTGGATGGATCTTGAGGGAGGGGAGGCATGTAAACAAGCCTAACTGGAGGTTGGCTTTGGTCGTTTCAGGTGCCCTCAAGTGGAAGGAAGACCTTTCCAGAAAGGCAGCTGAGGCCTTTCTGAGGCAGCAGCAAGCAGCTCCAAACCTCCGAAAGCTTATTTATGGGACAGGTAAAGAATTCTGGCTCAGAGCTGGAAATGTTTTAGTTTCTCTGATTATTTAGATGAGGGAATTGGTTGGAGGATTGGGCTGGTATTGTTGACATCCATAATTGCTGTCCATCACATTTCATGTTTGACAGATGTCTCTAATCATCAGATTATGAGGACTACACATTGGTCTTACAAAGTAGACATAATGGGTTTGCTGTAAAACTTGATGCAAATGCTGTCCATTGCATTATGTTGTGTTCCCTATTTAAAAGTCCTTCATGAGAATTTTTTTGTAGATTAGTGCCAAAAAATATTTCTGCCCATAAAAATATTTACTTTTTTCCTTTCTGAGAATTAGAACACTGTATAACACATTTTGTTCTCCCTTTTGCCCTTGTCCTCTGATTTTATGCTTTGCTAAACTTACCTATATATTCTTTCTGGTAGAATTAATGCAAAAATAAATATATAGTGATGAACTTTACATTGTACTCCCTGGTTACTGCATGGGGAGATCAAGGCCACATGGTGAGACTTTTGGGCTCAGCCCAGTGAATTGGGAAGGTTGTTGTATACTGTTTTTCATTCAGGTTTTATCTAGGTACTCTTAGTGATGAGAGGCTCAACATTCTTTAGCGCTCTTCTTTAGTAATCTAAAGCTCAGCCTTTAAATGTCCCTTCCCTCCCTCTACCGCCAATATTCTCACTCCTTCTCAGCCTCTTAGCTGCTGCTGTGCAGGAGCGCAGGAGCCTCACACATGTACAGCAATGGCTTCCTGGCTCTCTTAACCTGTGACTGCCCTGCCCTCTCAATGCCTAACTCATATGTGGCTATTGCCATACCCATCACAGACAGAGGCCCTCGGTTCCTGAGTTCGAAGACTCATGGCCTAACTGCTTAAAAACGATGGGTCTTCTAAGGCTGTAGTTTTTGTTCTCACTTTTCTACCATGGTGACCTCTTTAGTGGCAGAAGATAATGAAGAAGAAGATGGTGATACCCGAGAAGAGCTTGGAGGGTTGTTTCGTGTCAACCAGCCTGACAGAGAGTGTAAGCATAAGGCTGACTCTTTGGACTGTTCTAGATTTCTTGTGGAGGCCCCCCATGACTGGGATTTAGAGGAGGTAAGGCTGGGTAGTACATTTGATTTATTAGAGAATTAGAGAATTGTTCTAGAATAAGATTATCTGATGTCAATATTGCTTACCTGTTGTTGGCTTCTCATTTTTACAGGATTACAGGTCATTCTTCCAGATACTGCAGTGGGCACTTCAGGCATCCTAAACAGTAACATGTTCTGAGTTTAGTTAGACCATGTGCGTGGCCCACAGAGGACAGGTTCAGCTTCCAGTGTGGACAGTAGTGTGCATCTTTATTTTGAAGCATCACCCATAAGTTTTTATACATCTGATGTATTTTGTGTCTTATCACTAGGATATACGTAGCACCCTTGAGTTAACATTTATAGTTCCTGCTGTTTGTAAGCATAGAGAAATCTGTGATACCTGTAAATGTTCTTCCTGCAGCTCACCACTTTGTAATCACACTGGAATTCATTCAGTACTCAAACTCACCACAGCTCAACCTCCTCTGAGACTTCTTCTCTTTCTCTCTCTCTCTTTTTGAGATAATGGTCTTGTTCGGCAGCCCAGGCTGGAGTGTAGTGGCACAAGTGTATGACTCAATGCAGCCGCAGCCTCCTGGGCTCAAGAGATCTTCCCATCTCAGCCTCCAGAGTAGCTGGGACTATAGGCATGAGCCACCAGGCCTGAATAATGTTTGCATTTTTTGTAGAGATAATGTTTCACCATGTTGAGCTACTTTCGAACTCTGGGTTCGCGTGATCTTCCTGCCTTGGAACCTCCCAGAGTGCTGGGATTACAGGAGTGAACCATCGCGCCAGCCCCTTTCTCTGTATTCCCTTCTGGAATATTCTGATCTTCCAAAGGCTGCCTTGTTTTTTGTCAGTTCAGTTTGGCTTAGATGTCACTTCTCACAGAGGCCCAATTGCTATCATACTGCCTATTGTAATTCGCCAGATAACACTTAGTGCACTTTATGAGATTTTATTTAACCATTTTTTATGGTGAAATTTAATACAGATATAGAAAACCATGTAAAAACAATTGTTTAGCTTAATGGGTTGCCAGAAGGTGAATACCCCTGTACTCAACACTCAGGCTGAGAAATCAAGCTTTGCTGCTCAATTGTGACACCAGCCATAGTCCCCTTCCTCCCTGTAGAAGGAGGTGTGGTCCAGCCTCTTAAGGTGATGCTTTCCTTTTCTTCCTGGTTTCTTCCTCCATGCTTCTATAAGCATCACAGTTTACTTTTACCTGATTTTCCTTACTGTTTTTCAGTCTTATCTTTTAACATTTTTAGTGAACAGTCTTTCCTTCCCATTTCTTTTTTTGGTTACATTTTATTTAATAAACCAAGTCTTTGGTCTGTAGAGTTTCTTGTATTCTGGACTTTGTGGATTGCTTTGCATCCCTCTGCAGTTTCACAGGCCCTCCTGTATTTCCTGTGAGTGGGTACTGAGCAATACTAATAGAACTTCTGTGACGAGCGGAATGTATATCTGAGCTGTGGGTTGTGGCTACTTGTGGCTACTAAGCTCTTTAAATGTGGCTAATGAGACTGGAGAACTAAATTTTAAATTTTATTTAATCTTTGTTAAGATTAATTTAAATAGCCACGTATTTGTAGTTACCCTGTAGACAAGACATCTAGCGGTTGGACAGGATTTAAATTTGATTTTTATTTTTCAGCAAAACTGCTTCCTAAGTGGTGGTGTTTTCGCATTACGAGGCGCATAAAGACTGGTTGTGTCCTTTTAATGATGTTAGATGTTATCAGTTGTTGGTGCTCAATGCCTAGAACCATCAATTTCTTAAGAACGTAGAGTGGTGATGTTCTATTCAATCATTTCTCTTTATGTATTAGCTGTAATACTTTAAAGAGAAACTTTTCCTCTTCTACTATTTGGTTATTCACTTCCATGTATGTAGGGTAAATGCTTGATTTTTTTTTTTTTGAGACGGTGTTTCGCTCTGTCACCCAGGCTGGAGTGCAGTGACACGATCTTGGCTCACTGCAAGCTCTGCCTCCCAGGTTCATGCCATTCTTCTGCCTCAGCCTCCCAAGTAGCTGGCACTACAGGCTCCCGCCACCATGCCTGGCTAATTTTTTTTTTTTGTATATTTAGTAGAGATGGCGTTTCACCATGTTGGTCAGGCTGGTCTCAAACTCTTGACTTTGTGATCCACCTGCCTTGGTCTCCCAAAGTGCTGGGATTGCAGGAGTGAGCCACTGCGCCCGGCCCATGCTTGATTTTTTAATCAGTTTTTGGAGTGATTCTCCAAAGGATACTTGTTTGTGAGTATCACTGTGATGTCATGGATATAAATGTAGTTGATGTGCCTTGTGCTCCTGTACCTGTTATCCGTTATTGAAGCTCCTCTTTATCCCACCTGTGGCCTTTGAGCGTCTGTGCACACCAGCTCCTGAGTCCTTGTGTTATAATCGTAGTCATTCTGGATCAATTCTTGCTCTGTGATATGAGAGAACACTTGGAATCACCCATAAGAAGTCCTGCTTTCTTTTAGTACGAAATGGTATTTCAACATGACAGCCTAGGCATAGGAATGCTTACTGCCATGAGTTGGTCATTACTTCTAGGCCTTCTCAGTGACCCGAACCAGGAGAGTCCATACAGATATTTCCAGTTCACATTCAGGACTACATCTTATTCATTCTTCCACTGGAGAATTATTCCTTGGTTGAATCAGAAGATGATGAAATTAGAGAATCGCATAATTATTCATTTGCTTTATACTCTCTCATTTCTCTTTTCAAAAGTGACTGTGCCATTTTACTTACTCACTGGCACTGTATGTGGGTTCCAGTTTCACCACTTCTTCACCAGCACTTGTTATTATCTGTCTTTTTGATTATAGCCATCCTGGAGGGGGTGAAATTGTGTCTCATTATAGTATTGACTTGCATTTCCCTGATAATGATGTTGAACATCTTTCATGTGCTTATTGGCTATTTGTATATATTCTTCAGATTGTTTGCCCATTTCAAAAATTGAATTACTTAGTTGTATGCATTGTTTATATATTCTGGATATAAGTCCCTTATCAGATACATAATTTACAAATATCTTCTCCCATATTATAGGAATTAAGTTTTCAAACAGACAGGTTTAGATTAACAAATAGCAAGACCAACTTTATAAACTACTGTCTCATTAGTTTCTAAGGCGATGCCTTAGATTTTTAATACAATTGAAAATTAGTTGAATTAGTAATTATCTGTTTGTTTACTTACGAGGTTAGTAGACTAGTAGTATTTAATACTTTCCCTATCTGCTGCTTAATGTGTTTTATCTCTGTGGTTATACGGTCTCCATCAAAGGTAAAGTTATTTCCTGGGCTCATTTGGAATGAGAATATGCATGAAAGTGGGAAATATTTAAAGGCAAGTTGTTGCCTACTGCCATTTCTTAGAGTTGTTTTGCTGAGTGATTGGAACATCTCACCTAAGTGCTGACTTTTCTGCGTAAGGTTATGAACAGTATCAGAGATTGCTTCGTGACTGGAAAGTGGGAAGATGATAAAGATGCAGCCAAGGTCTTAGCAGAAGATGGTAAGTAAAGAGCTGGGTTCTTCAGGAAGACTGGCTTCTCTAAACTTTATTTTCTTCTGTATCTTAGACAATAGTCAAATTGAAAATCATAGTCACTTGTGAAATGCTTTGGGGAATTCAGACAGGAGTAATGAGCCAGGTAATATTCCGGATTTTCCTTTTATGATGATCTTATTTTCTCAGTTGGCTAACTGATTTACTACATATGCACCTTAAAAGTGAGAAACTTTCCATAAATTTTAATCATGTGTTTGTTAAAAATAGATTTTGTGTGATGTGAAAAATACATACAAATGGCATTTATGTTTTTCTTTTCATAATAAAGGTAGTATGCATTGTAGAAAATTTAGAATGAAAAGTACATAACATACCAGAATTCTACTAACCCGTAAAAAACCTTTGTTAACCTCTTCAATAGTTTCCTTCTAATCATTTAAAAATCATGTGTATAAACCTTTTTAGTTGTACTTTATATAATTTTTGGCAGGAGGATTGCTTAAGTGATGTACTTTATATAAATTTTGTCATTAAATTTTTTCAAAGATTTCATATTTATTATTTAAATATCATACCATTATTGAAGTCGTAATTTTTTCAATATCTAAGTAGTTTTGTACTTTGCTCATTTTATAAAGAACTCCACACTGAACAACTTTGAAATAATTCTTGGCTCACGCTTTTTATTTTCATAAGATAGATTCGTAAGTGTTAGAATTGAGTCATTTTTATGGATTACAACTGCCACATGGTTTCTTGGAAGGTCATTCTTTTTGTTTTGTCTTGAGACAGGATCTCGCTCTGTTACCCAGGCTGGAGTGCTTTGGTGTGGTCACGGCCCACTGCAGCCTCAGTGTCGCAGACCCAAGCCTCCTGAGTAGCTAGGACCACAGGCTTGCATCACTACACCCAGCTAATTTTAAATTTTTTTGTATAGACCGTCTTTTTATGTTGCCCCAGGCTGGTCTCAAACTCCTAGGCTTAAGAGATCCTCCTGCCTCAGCCTCCTAAGTAGCTTGAACCACAAATGTATACCACCATGCCTGGCTAATTTTTAAATAGTTCGTACAGATGGGAGTCTTGCCATGTTGCCTAGGCTGGCCTTGAATTCCTGGGCTTAAGCAGTCCTCGCACCTTACCTCGCACCTTAGCCTTCCAAAGTGCTGGGATTATAGGCATGAGCCACTGTGACTAGTCTGTAGTATGTGAATGTATTCTTCATATATATATATTTTGTCTGGGCTTTCAGGTTAATATCATTGATCTCTGTTGGTTCATTTATTATTAACTATAATTTAGTACTCTATGTAGCTTTATCATGTTATTAAGACCCCAGTTATTAAAACTGTGTCTCAACAGTTTCTTTCTCTTTTTATTCTGCTGGGGGCTTTTTTAAGCATTCTCCTGACTATTCTCACTTGCTTATTGTTTTTTCCACAGGAACTTAAGAATCGTCTTTTGTTTTCAAAAGAAAGTGTGGTGGGTTTCTTTTTTAATCACTTTAGTGAGGTATAATTGATGGTAAACTGCAGTGTTTAAAGTGTACAATTTGATAAACTTTAATATGTGAGTATACCGTTGCCACAATCAAAATAATGAACACATTTATCACCCTCACAGTTTACGCCACTGTTTATCACCCTCCATCCTGTCCTCTTCCATCGCCAGGTACATTCAGCTGCCTTGTGTCACTATTCAGTAGGTTGTGCCCTTTAGAATTTAATCGAAATGGGATCCTACAATATGTGCTCTTTTCTGTCTGACTTCTTTTACTCAGCATGATTATTTCAAGATTCATCCATGCTGTTGCATCTTTATTTCTTTTTGTTGGCTAATGGGTAGTCCATTGTATGATGTATAGCAATTTATTTATCTGTTAACCTGTTAATAAACAATTATTTCCAGGTTTTGGCTATTATGAGTAAGGCTGCTGTGAACATTTTTGTAGAAGTCTGTATATGAACCACTTTTATTTCTTTTGGGTAAATAAGTAGTTCAGAATGGACTAAATGGGTCATATGATAGGTACACATTTAATTTTTTAAGGAATTACCCAACTGTTTTCTAAAGTGTTTACACCATTTTCCATTGCCACCATAACTTTATGTGACTTCTGGTTGCTTCACTCTACATCTTTGCCAGTACCTGGTAGTATCAGTCTTTTTAAATTGTAGGCTTTCTTTTAGGCATAGAGTGGTATCTTGAAGTTTTAGTGACTAATGGTTTCGGGCATTTTTTCATGTGCTTATTTGCCATCTGTGTCTTCTTTGATGAAATATCTGTCCAAATCTTTTGCACATTATTTTAATTTGGTTGAATTCTAAGAAATTTTTTGTATTTTTGATACAAATTCTGTATGACATGTGATATGCAATTATTTTTGCCTAGTGTGTGCCTTGTCTTTTCTATTTTTAATAGTGTTTTTCACAGAGCAAAGTATTTAATTTTGGTATAGGTCAATTTATCAAAACAATTTTTTTTCGGGGGGAATGGAGTCTTGCTCTGTCTCCCAGAGTGCAATGCGATCTCGGCTAACTGCAACCTCTGCCCGCTGGGTTCAAGCCGTCCTCCTGCCTCAGCCTCCCAAGTAGCTGGGATTACAGGCGCCCGCCACCATGCCTGCCTAATTTTTGTATTTTTAGTAGAGATGGGGTTTCGCCATGTTGGTCAGGTTGGTCTTGAACTCCTGACCTCAGGTGATCCACCCGCCTCAGCCTCCCAAAGTGCTGGGATTACAGGCATGAGCCACTATGCCCTGCCCAAAATTTTCTCTTATGGACTGTGCTTTTGATAGTGTATGTAAGAAATCGTTGTCTCACCCAGTGTCACAAATTGTCTCATATATTCTATAAGTCTTACAGTTTCAGGTTTTACATTTAGGCCTATAATTCTTTTTGAGTTAATTTTTTATAGGGTGTTAGGTATGGATTTAGGTTCCTTTTGACATATTGATATCCACTTTTCCCAGCACGTTCTGCTGATAAACTATTTTTTTCCCTATTGAATTGCCCTGTATTGGTTGGCCATATTATGGGTGCATATTTCTGGGCTCTCTGTTCTGTTCCATTGATATATTTATTTTTATACCAATACCAACACTGTCTCTGTTACTTACAGCTTTATAATTAGTCTTGGAATTGGGTAGTTTTTAACTTTAGGTAGTTTTGCAAACTTTAGTCTCCTTTTCAAAATTGTTTTGGTTAATCTAGGTTCTTTGCATTTTCATATAAATTTTAAGATGGACATGTCAATTGCTATAAAAAAGCCCACTGCAATTTTGATTGGGATTTCATGGAACTTGTAAACAATTTGGGAAAATTGACATCTTAACCACATTGAGTTTTCTGATCTATGAACATAGTAACTCTCCATTTATCTTGTTCTTTACTTTCTCTCAGCAAGGTTTTCAGGATTCAGGTCTTATATCACTCTCAGCAATTTATTTTCATATCTACTTGTATTTATGTATGGCTAATATATAAGAAATGCAGTTGATTTTTTTATATTGGTCTTGTATCCTGCAATCTTGCTAAATTACTTGTTCTTTTTTTTTTTTTTTTTTTTGAGACAGAGTCTCATTCTGTCACCCAGGCTGGAGTGCAGTGGCATGATCTCAGCTCACCGCAGCCTAAGCCTTCCAAGTTCAAGCAATTCTCGTGCCCCAGCCTCGCGAGTAGCTGAGATTACAGGCAGCCACTACCACGCCCGGCTGGTTTTTTTATTTTTAGTAGAGACGGGGTTTTACCACGTTGGCCAGGCTAGTCCCAAACTCCTGACCTCAAGTGTGTGTTTGGAGGGGAGGGGTAAACTTTGACTAAACAGTATTCATGGTTTTCTAAGTAAATACTTCTTACTACCCCAAGGATTCTTTTCTTTTATGCTGCTTTTTCTCCTGTTCTGCCTGGGCTTCCAAGTTCTGCTTTGACCTTTCACCCTGGTCCAATCTCATATGGTTCTCCCAGTTTCTGTGCGGGATGGTTCTGGGAGCCAAGCAGGATTCTCTTTATCTACAGAAAGACTGAGATAGATCCCAGTGGTTTTTCTTTCTTTCTTTCCTATCTGGATGACTTAATTTTTCTTGCCTTACTGCCCTGGCCTAAACTTCCAGGACAGTGTGGGTTAGAAGTCAAAGTAAGCATCCTTGCTTTGTCCTGATTTTGCTTATTTTCCACGTGAACTTAAGAATCACCTTTTCTGGCTGGGCGCAGTGGCTCACGCCTATAATCCTAGTACTTTGGGAGGCCGAGGCGGGCAGATCACGAGGTCAGGAGTTTGAGATCAGCCTGGCCTGGTGAAACCCCGTCTCTACTAAAAATACAAAAATTAGCTGAGCATGGTGGCACATGCCTGTAATCCTAGCTACTCAGGAGGCTGAGGCAGGAGAATTGCTTGAACCCAGGAGGCGGAGGTTGTAGTGAGCTGAGATCGCGCCACTGCACTCCAGCCTGGGCAACAGTGCGAGACTCCATCTCAGAAAAAAAAAAAAAGAATCACCTTTTCTATTTCCAAAAGAAAAGTTTGTGGTATGTTTTTTCCTAATTAAACTTTTAAGTTTGAGGTAATTGTAGATTGACATGCACTTGTAAGAACGAATACAGAGAGATCTCCTGTATCTTATACTATAGCACTATCTATATATATGTAATGTGTATACTATGTGTTCTGTAATACAAGGTCACAGCCTGGATGCCAACATTGATACAATCTGCTGATCCTATGTAGATTTTTCCAGTTTTACCTGTGTGTGTGTGTGTTTTACGTTTGTGCGTATATACTTCTGTGCTCTTTTATCACATGTGTAGGTTTGTGTGTCTACCAACAGTTAAGATACAGAGCAGTTCCATCACAAGGATCGCTTGTATTGCTGTTTTATAAACATACCCACACCTCTGCTGTTCCCCAGCCCCCAGTTCCTTCCCTTGTGTTTTCTGTTTCTACAATTTTGTCATCCTCAAAGAATGTCAATAAACAGAGAATAATACAGTCTATAACCTTTTGTGAGGCTTTTTTCACTCAGCATAATTTCCTGGAGATCCATTCAGAGATTGGTACATATACCACCAGTTCATTCCTTTTATTGCTGAGTAGTGCTCCATTGTATGGATGTACCGGTTTGTTTAACCATTCATCTAAGATCAAGCTGGATTGTTTTCAGTTTGGTTTGTTTGTTTTTCAGACAGGGTCTTGCTCTGATGCCCAGTCTGGGTGCAATGAATGTGATATTGGCTTACTGCTTGCCTCGACCTCCTGGGCTCAAGTAATCTACCCACATCAACACCCCCAAGGAGCTGGGACTACAGGCGCCTGCAGTGCCTGGCTAATATTTTTATTTGTTTGTTTGTTTATAGAGACAGGATCTTGCTGTGGCTGCTCAGGCCAGTCTTGAACTCACAGCTATTTTCAATTTGCCTATTAAATTGAACTACTATGGACATTTGTATACAGGTTTTGTGTAAATATACACTTGTTTTCTGGGAAATAAATGCCCAATAATGCAATTGCTGGGTCATATGGTAA